TCAGCTTCCTTGTGAAACGTGACGTTAAGGTCTGCAGGACGGGCGCTTTGACAAACACGACTTTGGTGTTAATTCTTGCAGGATGGTTGCCCTGTGCAACGTGGCTCGGCGTTTATTTTGGCGTTCGGCTCGGCGTTACTGTCTGTCCGGCCCCTGGCCCTCTGGCTGTGCCAACTCTCCTGCGGTGACCCCGAGGTGTGGCGCCCAGGGCGGGGAACCCCTACTTCCGAAGCAGGTCGTTCAGCAGTGGGGTGCGTGACAGGTGACAGGGATCCCCGATTCCTCCCCTTGTCTCTGCCCTGCACCTGCTGTGAGTGACAAAGCCCTGGTTCTGGGAATCCCATAACCCAGGGGTAGCAGGGCCGGATTCTGGTGTCCGTAGGCCCTAGGGACCTTTGCTCCGCAACGTGCAAAGCGAGGGGTGAACGCCAACTGAATGACGTCGATGGGCGTGACGCACTTGAGACCGTTCTAACGCTAAACCCCGAGACGAAGGGCACGAGCCGAGCACCTCTGGTGACACCTCTGGGTTCTGGACCAGCCGCTGGAGAGCGCGTGATGATTGATCTGGATCTCGAGTTGCAGCTCGTTTCTCGTGAGTCACCCGTGTCTCCCTCCTTCGTCGCCCCGTGGGAAACCCGGCACGGAGGGGTACCCAGCCATGGCTGTGGGGATCCCCCAGACCTGCTGGTTTTCATTGTGCCCGAGCTCTCGAGTTACGGGGCAGGTTTGAACACTGACAGGACACAGTGACCAACAGACTGACGAGACGCAGTGACTGGCAAACAGACTGACAGACATAGAGACAGACAGAGACAGAGACTGAGGAGACAGGGACCCACAGAAGGACAGACACAGAGACTGAGGAGACAGGGACCCACAGAAGGACAGACACAGAGACTGGGGAGACAGGGACCCACAGACGGACAGACACAGAGACTGGGGAGACAGTGAAAAGAAGGCGGAGAGAGAAACTAGGAGAGACAGGAAGAGAGGATCGTGTGTGTGGTCTGCGTGCCTGATTGCCGCGCTGTCTTTACTGTGGTGAGGTTTTTACAGGCAGCAGGGTCCCTCAGCGAGGGGAAGGCTGTCATTATGAGGTGTCCACCGCCTCCCAGAACAGGTGTCCAGTCCGACCGCTGCACAGGCAGCAAGCAAGTACCGACACATCCCGGGGGCCAGCGCCCCCATGCGGCATTGCCATTTCAGACGTGACACCTGACGCTGCGCACGCCCCCCTTGGGCATCACAGTCTACCTGGGATGTCCCGGCCCCGTGCTTGGAGAAACAGTCAGTCCCGGTCACTCCAGCGGTCAGTCAGGTCCCGATCAGTGAAAATGAGCGTTGCTCTGAGCTGGTCCGGGTGTCACGGGGTTTGGGGTGGTGGGGGGGGGTGAGAGGGGCGTGGGGGCAGTTCCTCTATTCGTGTTTGTGTGGCTTGTTTGGTGGTTGTCGTTGTGATGTGGGTGTCCCAGAGTCACGCACGCGCGCACACGCACACACACACACACACACAACAAGCGCTGCCGAAGACAACATCTAGAGACCAGGGAGGGGAAGGAGGGGGTGTCAAACGAGGCTTTCATCTTTTCAACAGTTTCTTTTTTTAAATAAAGCCGCAGAGCACGCATTCCATCTGGGTGCTCCCTGTTTTCATCGGTTTCTTCTGTTTTTTTTCCCTTCCCCTCTGGCCCCTGGCTACAATAATTCTGTCCCTTCTTCCCATCCAAACACAGGCCCTCTGTCTCTTTCCGCCCACCACACTGCACCCCCCTTCTGCCTCTGTCTGTCTCTCTCTCTCTTTCTCTGTCTCTGTCTCTCTCTGCAGCTGTGACAGTCTCTCCCAGGGTGTGTCTGTCTCTCTGTCTGTCTGTCTCTCTCTCTCTCTGCAGCTGTGACAGTCTCTCCCACGATGTGTCTGTCTCTCTGTCTGTCTCTGTCTCTCTCAGCAGCTGTGACAGATGTGTCTGCAAGGACCTCACTCCTCTGTTTCTGTCTCTCTCTCAGGGGGACCCCCTGCCCAGAGCTCTGGTCGAGCTGGTGCAGAGCAGCTCCATCAACTCCATCGAGGACCTGCGGCGCCTCCTACTGACTGACTCCGTAGGTAAATCTGCACTGTCCCCCTGATAGAGTCTCTGGCCAAAATAGTAGGACCCCTGCCACCACTCCCACCTAAACTCCCCCCCCACCCCGAAAAAAGACCCTCTGGGGAGGGTCCTGCATGGGTCTCCGGTTTCCTCCCCTGTCTCTGTCCCCCAACCCTGAGCCTGATGTCAAGGCTACTGCACAAGGCCACAGCATTGTTCTGTAGAGAACGCAGAGCATGGCACACCCCCTGTACACAACACCTACACACACACACCCTGCATACACAACCTACACACACACACACCCCACACTCTCCCTGCACACTCACTCTACACTCATTCCCCCCCCCTGTGGACACAAGATAGGTGTTCTCTCCCCCCGTCTCCTGCTCGGCCTGACTTTTCCACTCGCACACACATTCTCCAGAAAAAGACACGGATTAAAAATAGCCAGTTCCATTGTTCCTGCGGAACAATCTCCTTTGTGTTTGGGGAACAATGTTTTCTCTCTCTGGCACACGCGGGGCCGGGGGGCTGGAGGTGAGGGAGGCGGTCTGGGCAGCTTTTTATAGCTCAGGAGAGAGGGGTGAAGGCAGTACGGGCAAGAGGTTCGAGCTCAGAATGGGAGAGAGAGAGAGAGGCAGTGTGAGCTGAGAGAGGCAGGAGGAGGGAGAGAGGCAGGAGGAGGGAGGCAGTGTCAGCTGAGAGAGAGAGGCAGGGGGAGAGAGAGAGGCAGGAGGAGAGAGAGAGGCAGTGTGAGCTGAGAAACAGAGGCAGAGGGAGAGAGAGAGGCAGTGTGACCTGAGAGAGAGGC